GAGGTGTTTTTTTTAGCCACCTTTTCGTAATTGTTTACAGTGACAAAGATACTTTTCTTAACATGCATGTGGATCCTACATTTTTGTCATTAATGTCCTGTGTTTGCGTGGTAACATTTGAGTATTGACTCGCAAATTTCCCTCCAGTGGAATTTCTTTTAAGGCAATATCACTAAATTTATCACATAATCAGTTACTGTATACTACCGTTTTCCTAGTGGTTAAAAATGTAGTTTTATGATCTGGGTTTGTAACAGAACAGTGCATTTCAATTGCCAGCCATGTTACAACTGTCATTATTCATTCCCACAACCTTAATACATTATTTATTCCTGAAAACCAGCTCACAAATGTGGACAAATGAGGATGAAGACATTTTTACTCAAACAATGTAATTTCAGTTGACATGTAACTGTTATTTAAACGCATGCACCTACAGCAGAGTAGAATGTAATATAGTATATTATTATTATTGTTGTCATAAGGGTTAGATCATTATGTCTTTTAGTATCATGTGATCTCATCATTCTGCGTCAGGCACGCACGAACTGGAATAGTATTCTTAAACCAGCCAGAAAAGAGCCTTTTCAAAAAAAAACAGTTTTATTAAGGTGATGGATTTAGTGAATGTTGAGGAGAAGCAATAAGTTGTTGGCTACATTATACATGCAGGTTAAGCTGTTAACATGCAGGAACAGTGCCCATTTTACATGGTTGCTTCTAAGTGTAAGCTGTACAAATTCTAAAGACTTAAAGTCTTCGTCTGCAGCTGGCCCGTGTCCCCAGGACCAAAGTTTGACCCGAATCTCGCTTTGCATAAATCCTGATGACAGGCCAGTTTTATGGCTCGTGAGCTTTTCTTTTTTTCTGACTTGAAAATTAACTTTAAAATTATTATTTTTGCCTCCTAAACATTACTAGGCACAATGTCCTGCTGCCATACTTTTCTTTCTGATTGTTTGTTTTGTTGTTTCTGGCAACAAAAAATAAACATGTTTGTGTCATGTTTAGTTTCACTGTAAGTGTATGAATGAACAAGGGGCTGGTCTCTGGTGATGACAGGATTCTTGTTTTCTACATTCACTTTGTTAGAAACACATAAACACATTACATTTTATACACTTAAAAATCAACAGCTGTTGTTTTATGATGGAGATTATGTAAACTTGACTAATGTGATTTGTGAAACTATGGTGCATCAGTTTGATTGATTTTTAAAGGGACTCTTCTCCTGAAGGAAACCTGACTTTGGCGAAAAGATCTGTGATTGGCTTTCTTCAAATTGTGAAATAGAAGACCTAAGATTTGCAGTGCTGCGTATTTATGATTTTATTTGTTTTCGTTTGTTTTACAAAAGTTAGAGAGAGTTTTTTTTCAACATAGTTCCTGTGCTTCTTTTCAGAGAAGCATATCTAATTTATTTCAGTGTTGGTTATTAACTAAATTGTTTCCCCGTAATCATTGTCGTGTTTAGAAATGTTCTAACTGAACTGATGACAGCAATGTTATTGGCCCCCCACCCCTGCTTATATTGTAACAGGCACCTTGTGATGATGATATATATTGAAGTGCTTTGTACACTATGAATAACATGTACATTGCTGTGCTCTGTTACTATTTTGTGATTTTGGAAGGTGTAGTTAGTAATAATATACACATTAATGGACATAATGTGTTTGTTCAAGGCATGTCACTGGACCGCTGACCTTGTAGTACTTTTTGACCAAATAGCAAACAGCAGAGGGAAATGGCACCAAACAGTTTTTACTGTTAAAATCAGAAATCCTCCTACAGGACCAAAATTTAAGTATTTTCACTCTGAATATAGTACTGAATGTGATTATACAGCATGGCTGTAAGTGTCTCACTTAGATGCAGGATGTTCTTTTATACACATACTGGGGAGGTAATTACTTTTTTGAAATTACAGTTTCCTCATTTGTGTATTTACAATGTTAATTGGAGATCAGAAATATATGAAAGTGTGGCTCATTGTACAGTCAGTGACGGTGCAATGAGTAATTGTATGGAAAAAAGCGGGGTTGTTGATAAAGGTTTTAATATTTCCTTAAGATCCGCCCGGCCGGCAAGCTTTATGTTTCTTGCAATAGAACAAGATGTGGTTTTCTATTAACATTACCAGTTAATTTAATAATATCAACAAATTGTCTGCTACACAAAAAGTCTGCTATCACAGGTGTTAAATTTTTAATTGTTTCCTAAAATGTCACTTTTGACACGAGTAGATACAGATTGTACATGTGCCTTGAGGAGATGTTGTAGTAGCGATCAGATTGATGTTTTACCATTGTTGCCTGTTTAATACCCCGCTGGTGCTGCCAGCGATGATTAGTTCTCATTAATTAGAATGTTTTAAGCCATAAGACTTTAAGTGTACTTTAAAAGCTCGACAACAGTGACCAGATAAATGTGGTTGTGGTTGATAAATGTGTTGTGCAATTTCTGTCATGCATCTAACTTGTTTGTACTGAAGTATCCATTGCATTTATGTTATACAACGTTGATGCAGGCAAATGTTCTCTGAAACTGCTATGCAGCTAAAATACTGTAAATGTAGATCTGTTAGTTTTTGAATATATATTTTTCTAAATAGCCTCTCCAAAGTAGAAAACCAAAGTAGATGTTGTTTCTATTATTTATGTTGCTTGTTGAAATGTTTTCTGATGCTTTGAGTGTCGTCTGATTTTTAAATATTTTAATCAAATAAAATGCAAAGTCCTCTTCTCAACAACCATCTCAGACATAGCTTTTTTTTCTTTGGTGAGACAAGGGTCACTAATTGTTTGTCAGTCTTCTTTATTCCCTTCTTGCTTGCGGGGTTTATGTGGAGGTTTGCGTTGCATCCAGGCTTACTGTTTACTGGTTCCTGATGTTTCTGGCTTCTCTCAGGGCCTCTGAGTTATCAGGATGTCATGTCGTTCTCACACGTCTTCTTATTCATCTTTTTCTGAGTCTGACATTATTATTATTATTATTATTATTAGTTTTTAGTTGTAGTTGGTCCTGGAAATAGCAAGGAGGGAATTTTGCCTTTTTGTTTTCAACAATGTGAACAGCTGTCAAATAATCACCCTTGTCTATAGATTTGGCTTTTATTGGGACATTATTATTCTCTTTCAGTTAAATTATACTGTAAACTTGATGCTATCTGTATGAAACAGATATACTTTAAATGTTAGGCCTTTTTGGCGTGATCTACTGCACAAGAATACCTGGCCAGAGACATTGATTAAAAAAATAAATCTTCTTAGTTTTAGCTGTTACCATGCCATCACACACACTGATTTAGATTTCAAAGCAGTGCACAGATGAAGAAATCATGTCATATTTTTTACTGGCAAACAAAAGGTGTCTTATGAGAAAATTGGGTTCCATACTTCATTATAGCTTATGTACAACTCTTTATTTTAAATGGAGACTCTTAAAGCAAATACTTAACATTATTTAAACACAGAAGGGCAGTCTGTAGAAAGTGTGTTGATCCCATTTACTTTTCTTTCTTTTGGAGCCTCTGCTTTTCTGCTTTGTTAAAGTTTTCTGCAAACACTTAACAGAAAACATTTTAAAGAAGTCATTCCTGTATTGTGAGGTAAAAATAAAAAGTTCTGAGTTCTGTCTTTCTTACTGAAGCTGTTACTAGGTTTATTATGAGAGTTTTGGTTGTTTTCCCATCTCACACTGAATGTGATATGTTTCACAAATGCAAACGTTTGGATTCATGTTATATTTTAGTGATTAATGATTGCACTCAGGATTTAATGTTACTAGTCCTTGTCCAACATTAGAAAAACATCTAAACCTAGCTTTGACTTTATTTAAAAAAGATGATCCTTCAAGTCTGAAACTACATTATCACAATTGCCAACAGCTGCATGAAAGCATCCCATATGGCTCCTCAATCCTGCTATCGTCCTCATAGGCTGCAGTATGTGTCCTGTTATTCAGATATTCAATTTATTTTTGTGTTACTAAATCAATCAGACTTTATTTGTGTATTGCCTTTCATGCAAAATACCAATACATGCATTCTATTTTCATGTGTAATTTTGAAAACTAATTTAACATTTCGTCCAGACTTTAGGTTTTAGACTTAAGGTAAATTGCTTTAAAATTAGCTGTAATAATTTTATTTAAGAGTAAAGGCTAAAAGTATCTGTGTAAGACATAGACACATAAAAGTAAAGTGGTCTTTTTTTTTTTCATCGTGCTAGAGTTAAGAAACCCCAGTGTTTATGTTGGATTTGAAGTTGTGACTAACAAAAATTTGTTGATTTAACCACATTGATTGCCCACCTGATAAATCATTGGACATTACATTACAGACTAAATGTAGATATTTGCAAAAGTAAAGGTTAAAATCAAAGAAAGCATGAATGCTCAGTCGCACATTAATGCTATTATTATTAATATATTATAGGCTGTAGTTGAGCAATGTGGCTGTGTGATGAAAAATGAATTGTTTAAGACATGGTCAGTCTGTCCATCTACCTCCCCAATCTTTGATCAGTGCTGCTGTCAGGTGAAACTTTCCTGCTGACCAGCACTTTGTTTTGAATTTGGTGTAATTGTTAATGGCCCTTGGGGATGAATAGTGTTTTTCTTTAGTGACCCTCTCTTGTAGTGCCACCATCAGGACAAACATGACATGTTGTCCCCCAACTACAAATTAATGTTGTTGAATGATAGTAATAGTGAAAATTGCAGCCACCAGCAGACATTTTTGAATAGTGAATTCTGCACTCACAAGTTTCCAAATTTCTGTCTGAACTTTCGATCAGTGCTGCCTTGGCTGCATGTTGTCGATCCATGTTGCAGTTTTAGCTTTGTTGTTGTTCTCAAAAAATGTAAAGTATAATACTGGTTTTATTGAAGTAGTATTATAATACCGGTTTCAGTGAAGTATTATTCTCCTCTCTTTCCGGTATAGTGATTTTCAACAGTCACCCAAATGCACCGCACCGCAAGTTCTCGCGTTTTTGCGGCGCGTGCGCGTCCGTTGATCTTTCAGACCGCAGCGTTTCCAACCAGATCTAGAACATGGCTGACGTGACAGCGGTGGACGGAGAGAAACTCAGCAAAAAGTAATCTTATTCTTTCCTTCCGGCGTATTTTATCTATTCTCAACTCCTTATGCACTGTTGTTCTCCTCGAATAATTTGTTGTTTCAGCAGTTGTTGCCGTTTTAATTAGGCTATGCAGTATCACTAAATGTTGCATCAGTTCGGCTGGGCATGATAGCGAAGTGAGGGTTCCATATGGACCCGAAGCCTACACATCCCGGGATTCAGTCCGTCTGTGTTGCTGGTACTTGTAGTCCTGAACACGAGCGGAAGCCTATCGCGGTAGTGCCTTTTGTTAATCAGTAAAACTACAAAATCCAAAATACATTCAGAGAAATGTCGTCCCCACGTTGATCGTGTAGTTTCTCTTTCTTAAATCAGATATTCGTTTTAACTTATGGTATATTTAATTGTTGGATTTTTACTGTAGCAGAGTGTTTTGTTGTATATTTTAGGCGTATAAAAACGTCAAAATAATACAGAAATAATGCTGCGTTGCCCTTCATTCGTCTTGACTGTATTTGCCTTGCTACTGCTAGCAGTACTGACACACATGCCCGGCCGGCAAACCAAAAGTAAAAGTAAATCTAATCTCTACGAATTTACCTTCGCAGTTAAGTCTATAGATTTTTGTTTTTACCTCACTGGACTGGATTTGTAACTTTGACGAGAGTCTTGGTGCAGACTAGCAGAGTTATCATCCCACCAATATTGGTTTCAACCTGGTGGGCCAAAGACAGCCTTTTCCTGTATATACTGTGCACTGTCTTTGTATATATGTCTATTTTCTCAGGTGTATTCGCAGACTGTCGTAGCTCAGCATGCTGTGCCTGGTCAGGGCAGCCAGGCAGCATCTGTGCCAAGCCTTTGTGGTCAGGGGACAGTGGTTAAAATGTGCATCCCCATGTACAGCTGCACTCCCAGCTCAAATGTACGGGAACCGGTGGAGAGGTGACAAAAGGTTGGTGGCTTTTCCATTCCAGTGAGAAAAACAACCAACCTTTTGTCATCAGAGCAAATGTGGTCCCCTCTCCCTTCCAGCATGATTGTTTGTTGTGCTTTTTTAGTTTTTTTTAGTAGTAGATTTTGCCATGGCCTTTTTTGTTTTCTAATTTTATACAGCAGAAAGGAATAACATGTACACTGTGGATATGTGAGAAATTGTATTTGTGTGCACTGTGCAGTTAAGTTTTGAACATCCATTGAATTTCAGTTGTAGTTGCATCATTAACAGCAATCGTCAATATCTAACCTCATGACTCATCTTTGAATCCTCCTTTTTTTTATTTATTTTTTTTATCAGTGAGCTGAAGAGACGAATGAAAGCTGAAAAGAAGGCGGCTGAGAAAGAAGCTAAGGTGAAAGAGCAGGTAGAGCAAAAGAAGGAGTCCAATGACCAAGGGGCGGCACAAGATGCCTGTGGGATGGACGAGGAGACACTTGACCCAAATGTAAGATTTTTGTATGGTCATTATACCTCTTCACTAAGTATCCCCTCAATGTTTTGGTCTTTTTGTATAAAATCAGTCGTCTGTTTCTCCCTAACATAGCAATACTTCAAGATCCGCTCCCAGGCCATCCAGGACTTGAAGGGTACAGCGGAGGACCCATACCCGCACAAGTATCATGTGGACTTGTCACTCACAGAGTTCATTGAGAAATACAATCATCTACAGCCTGGAGACCAGCTGACTGACGTTGTCAATGTGTCAGGTACCAGGAATATGTTATGGGCTTTTTTGTCCCTTTTTTTACTATTTTTTTATGTACAATATAATTCAGCAGCTAGACCCCCTGTTAAACTTAGTATATAATTGGCAGGCCGTGTCCATGCCAAGAGGGTTTCTGGTGCCAAGCTGCTTTTCTACGACCTGCGAGGTGAAGGCGTCAAGTTGCAAGTCATGGCAAACTCAAGGTAAAGAATGACAGCCATGGTCAAAAAACATCATTTGTACATGTTTGCTTTACTCTGTACTGTGACAGCGTTGTGGCACCTTTAGATTGCCAAAAAACAAATTTCCAAGATAAAGGGGATGAATGCTGTGATTATTTGCATTATACAAGGTGAAGTGATATTTAGAGGCATCATGACTGCAAATAGATGCAGATGTACGAGTGGAATTGATCGAGCTCAATAGTGATTGTGAAATTTTCCAGATTACTCAAATAATCACATTTTTGTTTTGTGAAATGTTATGCAATATAGCATTACACCACAACAATGCGGATACTTACACTTGCAGTGAGTTAATTTCTGTGCGTCTTCTTTTACTCGGACAGAAACTACAAGTCTGAGGAAGCCTTTGTAGCCATCAACAACAAACTGCGCCGTGGTGATATCATCGGTGTCCGCGGTAACCCAGGGAAGACAAAAAAGGGGGAGCTGAGTATCATTCCCATCGAGTTGACCCTACTGTCACCATGTTTGCACATGTTGCCTCACCTCCACTTTGGCCTCAAAGACAAGGTAATGCCCACCATGAGTGGACACTCTTGAGTTAGTGAGAGATGCCCTTCCTTCTCACCCTTATACCTGCAAATACCACATTTACAAAGTGAGATTTGATGATGGTATGCATAGATATTACTTTTTGGAATGACGCAACCTCCTGCCACCTCCTGTTGGAAAACTTTAACAATGAATCATCCTCGCATGATTAGTTAAAATCAGAAACCTGCCCTTTGTCTGGCTTTGGTTCCTTTACACCTTGCCTTACTGTGAGTTTTCTTAGAAATGGGAGGCTGAGGAGGTGCAGCGTTAAGATGAGGCATCTGCAGAATGCTGATTCTAGCAACAACCTCATGAACTATGTATTTTGTGTAACAGGCCCTCCTCTACATTCATGCCTTGTGCACAAAAGAATAGGGAGGGAAGCAGTTCTTGGCCTCTTAGGACTTTTGGTCTCTGTACACTGTGAGCCCATTTGCAAATATGATATAAACTTACTCAAAGACAGTTTTTCATCTTTTATTTAATACAGATTTCCATAACGCAAACCAACACATGGCTAAAATAAAAATGTAGAGCTGCAGTATTTGGAGGAAAACAATGGAAAACACATTGTGTAATGCTGCTTTTCTCCTTTTAGACAATTGGACAAAATACTTACCTGAATGTCTTTTGAATTGAACTCTTTACCATTCTCACACTCAACACATGATTGCAGATGATGACCATTGCTTCCACTGAAAGAGGAGTGAATGTGTTGACTTTTACATGGCTTACTGACACACCTAAAATGGAATAGAGTTGTAATTTATGATACAGTTAGATACAGTCAAAATTTCACTATGAGAAAGTTTGATCTTACAACAAAGTATGAGCCTGAAGGGGAGATTCCAATTTATGTGGTACAATTATAGCTGTAATCTCAGAAGAGGATGCATGATTCTTCTTTCGCTTCAGTTCAAAAGCTATTCTGCTCATCATAAAATGTTTTCTTTTCAATATCAGCCAGCGCCGGATGCAGTGTCACAAGTGTAAAACCTCAAAGCTTTGCATTGTTAAATTGACGTGACTGTGAATTTGGTCACAGTAACGTGTGTTGATGGAAAGAAGACAAATTGGCATGTCATTGCACCAGAAATGGCCAATGTTTGTTAAGCATTTGTTTCTCACAACAGTACAATCTTTCTCTCAAAGGAAACACGATTCCGCCAGCGGTATTTGGATCTGATTCTCAATGACTATGTGAGGCAGAAGTTTATAACTCGCGCCAAAATCATCACATACCTGCGCAGCTTCCTGGACCAGCTGGGATTTTTGGAGGTAAGAATTGGTGTCTGTAGTGTGAATCACACAGCTAATCAAGTGAGCAGTTTTTCTCAAAGAGTGCTGGACTTTTATATATATATATATATATATATATATATAACATTTACACAATGCTGAGACAAAAGTCCTTCACTTTAGGTTTAAGTCTTTAGCTTAAGTGTGAAAATGTTTGTTCACGCAAATTTATATTTGAGTTTGTACAAAATAGGGATTTTATAAAAGAATGCTCATAGTTTGTACATTTGTTCCACATTTGAGGCAGTTAAAATTGTGTAAGCTTGCTTTGCTGAATCATGTTTGTTGTTACTTTAGATTGAGACTCCAATGATGAACATTATTCCTGGTGGAGCAGTGGCCCGTCCATTTGTTACCTACCACAATGAGCTGGATATGAACCTGTTCATGAGGATCGCGCCTGAGCTCTACCACAAGGTAATCAGTCACTTCCAGGGGGAATATTTTAATAAATGTGTTGTATCAATTTGATGTAGGGCCTGTGAATATTTTGTACAGGAAAACATAAAGAGGGTTTTTAACTTCATCTTCACTTGAAGGGGTTTGTTACATTTCTGCATCTACATTCAATGCCTGAATAATTACACTGTACATCTTTACCACAGATGCTTGTGGTTGGTGGAATAGACAGAGTGTATGAGGTCGGTCGTCAGTTCAGGAATGAGGGCATCGATCTTACTCATAATCCAGAGTTCACCACCTGTGAATTCTACATGGCTTATGCTGATTACTATGACTTGATGGAGATAACAGAGAAACTACTCTCAGGTAAGTAAAAACACAGTCAGCCATATGGTTACCCATAGTTTTCTAGTCATTGCTTGTTCCCCTGTCAGGGATTTGACTGTCCAAATGTCACGTTTTATGTCACAATAAGCAAACTTCTAGCCTGAGAAAAAAGACAAAACGTCTCATCTAAATGTACTGTTTATTAGGGCTGACCCCCAATAGTGGAAGATTAGATGCTTCGATGGGCGGAGCCTGATTCGACTGTCAATCTCACAGTCGAAGCTTCGCAGCAAAACAAGGATCATACCATTTTGGCGATGTCAGTTTTTGAAATAGACCCGCGAGGAACCGCGACGTGCATGTAGTTGTCGGCAGCACAGCATGCACGCAAAACTCACAAGACCAGTGAATAACAGGCGAGAGAGAGAGAAAAGGGTCTTCAGAAAGCCTCAGTTTAGTTGGAAATTTACAGTGTAAGTTGAATGAATAGAGACTGCAGCGTCTCAATATTAAAGCGGAGCTACTGTGTGTGGGCAACACCCGCTCGCAGTCGCCACGCACAAAAACACACGAGTCGACTATAGGCAGGACTTGAAGATTCTGATTCGACTATGTAAATCTTTAGTCGGGGACAGCCCTACTGTTTATATATTGAGGCACGCATTTTGGCTTCTGTGTCTTTAGAAGAAGACGTGATTGGCCAGTTGGGGGTGCTGTTTAAAAAGGAATGTCAGTTTTTGTAAGGCATAAATTAAAATTTAATAGTTCTATAAAGAGTCTTACATCCAGTCTGTCTGTAGACTTCTTAAAGGTTAGATTATTAAATTACCACGCATGCAGTACATTATGTGTAATTCAGATAAATTCAGTCAGAAAATTTTACTCTGGTAATATACGGATAAAAGAAATACCCCCTATTTTATTGCTGTTAATTCTGTGTATCATAATAAAATATGCAGCTGACTTTATATTTACTTCACAAAATGTTGTACAGCGGCTATCTGGTTGTAACAGGATAACAGTAAACAACAAAAATGCCAACAACATTTTCTGAGAATAGCCAGTTGTATGACCAAAAGTAACAGACCAGCTGAAAAATTGTTTATTGAAAGTTTGCTAATCTACCACTGTTTGGAGGGAAAAAAAGATCAGCAGTGATCTTAAAAAGATTCCCTTTCCTACAGTTCTGTCAAGTGAAACTGACTGCCCTACCCTGTGAACTGCCACGTCTATTATCCACCATGCACTAAAAGATTTTTTGTTGAAACTAAAAAGGACATCCTGTGCATTTCCAAGCACATCAGAGTGGAGCATGCCATGAGGTGTGCCTTCTTCTCAGATAGCATTCCTCTCCTTCCTCTCAGCCTTGTTCTCACATTGCAAAATGGTAGGCAGACCTAAATCCTTACCTCAACTGTACATAAAGAAAAATATTGGTTGGTAGAGCTTGATGGAGCAGTACACAGCCTGAGAGGAACTGGTGCCTCCGTCTCAGTCAAGACAAAGAAAGTCTCTGTGGAGGCAGACCTCTTAACAATACTATGTGAAGTCGATAAGGAGCATATTCCATAAACTATCGCTATTTTCAGTTCTGCCGTGTTTAATCAGCTTTTTCATCGACCATTGTATGCCATGTAGTTGTGTTAAAATAGCCCCCCCCCCACCCCCACAATCTCAGTGCTTCTCTCTCTGCTTCAGGCATGGTGAAGCACATCACTGGAGGATACAAGGTGACTTATCACCCTGATGGTCCAGAGGGACAGGCCTATGAGATCGACTTCACTCCACCATTCAAAAGAGTGAGCATGACTCACGACCTAGAAAAGATTATGGGAGTCAAATTCCCTCCCACTGACAGCTACGACAGTGATGGTAAGAATCTGTAGAGAAACCTTTGTCCTTTTATTTTCTCTTTTCTTTGAGCCGATGTTTTGGAACCCCCTGTGACATTCTCTTTCTTCATCTCTCTCACAATGTCTTCCACAAATTTAGGGTTTATTATTCTTTTAATGACTGTATCGCACATGGATTTATGTTCTAATAAAAGCTCAGTAATAGTTCATATGTCTTTTTTTTTTTTTTCTCTCCACACTTCTGTCTTCAGAGACACGTAAATTCTTTGACGACCTGTGTACACAGAAAGGAGTAGAATGTCCATCACCCAGAACCACTGCCCGCCTCCTTGACAAGGTGCCCTATTGATGAACATCATCTGTTGTGCAATTTGTTGTTTTTTCTCTGTTCTTTTTGTTAATGCCCCCCCCTCCCCCCCACAGTTGGTTGGAGATTTCCTTGAGGTCACCTGTATCAACCCCACATTCATCTGTGATCACCCTCAAATCATGAGTCCCTTAGCAAAATGGTGAGAAACCCCTTGTTTCATCCTCATATTTGTAATTGTGATGCTCAGATTCATACTGACACTATCTCAATTGTTACAGGCATAGATCGCAGAAAGGCCTCACGGAGCGTTTTGAGCTCTTTGTGATGAAGAAGGAAATCTGCAATGCCTACACTGAGTTGAATGATCCGATTAGACAGAGGGAGCTTTTCGAGCAGCAAGCCAAGGTGTGTATAAAAGCCAAAAGTGATATTTTTCAATTCTACTCTTGTACATTGTCCCATTATCTAAAGGTTCAGGCTCCTTACTGTTGTATAGCGCTGTGATTTAGTGCATGTTAATAATTTGTGTCCTTTTTTAGGCCAAAGCCGAAGGTGATGATGAAGCCATGTTCATTGATGAGACCTTCTGCACAGCACTGGAATACGGACTGCCACCGACTGCCGGTTGGGGGATGGGTATCGATCGTCTCACCATGTTCCTCACTGACTCCAACAACATCAAGGTGAAGCTGTCGTATGAAACGTGAAGTTGTTGTCATTGTCTTCCAAAAACTAACAGTATGAGCATTTTCTGATCTGATTCCCCATGTGATAGGTAACATAGGTATTTTTCAATCTGGATCGTATTTTCCCATGTGTTTGTGTTTATGTGACTTATTGGGTATAAGTTTTTTTTTTTTTATTTGTCCCGTATTGACCGAGCACATTGGAGTCAGCGGCTGCAGCGGGTGCCCATCAAATTACGCAAACTGAAGTGCTTGTTTTTGCCACTGACAGACTAAGATTGTTATTATAAGTGTCTGACAACATACACAAAAACAAGGGGAAATAAGGTTAAAAAATACCCAAGTTACCCATTAAAGATACACACATGATGCGGTACACATTCCTACCAATGGTTTCACACTATTCAGTTTCAAACTGTTTAATATTTCCTTCAGGTACATTGTGTCATTAAGAAATTAATTTAAGACAACCCATAATTAAAAAAATACTCCCAAAGTAATAAATCACAGTAACATCAGAATTAAAACAAAACAAGCTTGTTTCTGACCACGTGCACTTCCGTCAGTGCATTGTTCTCTCAAAACCTTTAGGCTTTGGTAAGACTGAAGTACAATATTAGAACACATGATTACAGTAATATAAATAAAAATGGGTTAAAGAGATAACATCGTCAAGAAATCAAATTTCTTGCATTGTGTGCACACACAAGGTCTTTTTTTATATTCATGCTGTAAGCAAAAAAAACCCTCAACTGACTTTTTTTTTCTTTCACAGGAGGTGTTGCTCTTCCCAGCCATGAAACCTGACGACAAAAAGACATCAGCACCCACAGAGGGCACCTCCGTCTAACGACCTCGTGAAGGAGTCCGTATGAAGTAGGAGCATTTTTACCTCACTGTGGTCATCAGTGGAGCCTGCAGGTTTTGTGTGTTATCAATGTTACTCTGTCTTTTTGATCTTTGCTGCCATTAAGGGAAATCATCTTGTTTCAGTTACATGGTCGACGAGTAAACAATGACGAATGCTTTTTTCTTGTCTTTTGTATTTCTTATCACATTTGCTGCGTCCTCGTTTGAGTGTAAAGAGACATTTTAATCCTCAGTCATCCAGACCGTGAATGGATGGTATTTGATCAGGAAGTCATTTGTGATCTGCTGTTGTATGCCGACCTGAATGAAATATTTTTGAATATACCATGAGATTCTTCAAGGGGTCCTTGATTCTGGCTACCAAATAAACACAGGATAATAGGCCACATAATAGCAATACTTAAGCACCTCTTGATGTTGTAAGTGTTCTCAGTATATTCATCGTTTTTTTATCAGGTCAGCTTGTATTCCTTGTCTGACATTTTTCAAGATCCGGCAATTTCATTATTCCTCTGCCAAGAAGTTTAAACATGATTTTGTCTGAATAAAATGCATATGAATCTACATTTTTTCATTCTCTTGTGATGTTTATGGTCTGTTTAACAGAACAACATTCAAAGGTAAGCAGCTCCTGAACTCGTTATGTTATGAAAATAAAGGGAGCCAAGTGTCTTTTCTCTTCACTCTGAAGGTCTCATGATGTCTTACAAAGCATTGTTCATTGAGCCAGGCCATGGAAAATGGCAACTGCAAATTGGCCTTAGGTGTGGGTTTGAGTTTGGTTGTTTGTCTATGTGTGGCCCTGCGATGGATTGGCGACCTGTCCAAGGTTTTCCCCTGCCTTTCGAAATGATTAATTTCAAAATGTGCAGCGTGGATTTTTTTTGTCAAGCATGTATTGTTCATGTTGAGTCATGACAGGGCTCCTTTTGAATAAAGGTCGTAGTGTCATAAAAATTTGATTATGGAGATGTAACTTTTCAACAGTGTTGCCCATATTTAAACACAACTATTTAATGTGTGCAGTAAATTTCGTACGAAGAATTTCTAAAGTTGACGTCATTTTTTCCTGAGATGCCTCCGTGCCCTTCAGATTTGGTATGTTGGGAAGCGCAAGCATGTCCGAGCTACAGATAAGATGGTTCTCGGAGAGCCAGCTCCCTTGATAATATTAAAACTGAGACACCCTTTCAGTTTTTGTTATCTTTCACAGATAGTGTAAGACCAGGTATTATCCTTTGTGACTAAGTTTTTGGTATGTCCACGTGTACATGTGCCAAGAGCTCCTCTAGAGACAGATTTGTGTTTTAATAAACTGATATATTAAAGTAATAACTCTTGCTCATTGAGTCAATCCTTTCATTCATCAGAGTGAAGATCGACCAGAAGTTTTCTACATCATAATCATAACAACCCCCTCTTCTGTAAATGAGACAAACAATTTGAATAATTATATACATCATGTGTTACTTTGCTTATTGCTGAGGAGGAAATTCTCTTTCGCACCTTACCGGTGGAAAACAGTTAAAGGTCTGGCACTGTTAAACTCACCTTGCAGCTGAATAAATTGCTTAGCATTTACAATAAGTTATGCAAGTTAAAACTAAACAGAACTCACCTGCAGGCATGGCCTTGTGTGTTAGGATCATGGCCTTGTGGTGTGTTGAGGGATAAAGCTTAGGAGCACAGGGTCTTTTCCCACAAGCCACTTCCTCACTCAGATTGATGTGCCAAACGTCCTCATAAGGCTGCTCTGGAGCAGCACAGCCACTTTTGTGATGTTGCAGGGAGGAGGAGAGAAGCTTTAATTCATGGACCGCACTCATGCAAACATCAATTGTTGCTGGTCCGGCTGTGCACCACTGGAGCTCCTCAGTGGGTTGCGCTTCAGCAACAACATGACAAGCAGATCCTCGAGCAGATCACTACTAAGATACATAAAGTAACTCAGAATTGTTCTTAAATACAGTACTTGTATTTCTGGCACGGTGACTGTCAAATACAATGGAAATACTTAAGTAAAGTATATCAAAATTTTACTTAAACAGTATAGTACTTTAATTTGTGGAGATGTGATTAGAGGAAAATGGCAATATAATGGAAAGATGCTAAAGCTCCAGCCAGAACTAATAAGCCAAAATGTAAATTACAGATTCATTTTATGAGTTTGTGCGATTAAAGGGGACCTTTACATTTACCTTGTGGGAAATCCCTCACCTAACACAGCTAAGGCTTGTCTCCTCCTCGATTAGTGCATCCGAAAGCAACGACCATCCAGCATTTTGGCAACGCAAAAGTAACAAACTCAAACTAACAGTACACCACTTGCTTCCTGGTTGGCAGGCAGCAGAAAATAACGTCTTTTTAGCCTACTGAATTTGCTGAGTATACAATGATACTGTGGCCCAATTTGGATACTTTTATGTACATGAACAGTTGTATGGACACAAAATAAAACGGTGTATGTGATATTGTTCTCATACCTGGTTTCATTGTGTTCTGATCACACTTTTCAGTGCTGCCACAGATTTCTTTCAAATATAAACATGAACAGATGTTTTGGAAGTGTATTCATTCAAGAGCATTTACTCAGTGCTGTGGAAGTGTGAAAGTGGAATTTTGTTTTACTTAACTTGAGTTTTTTAATGTTCAGCTAATTTATATTTCTTATTTACTACATTTCAGAGGAACATTTTGCACATTTATTGTGAAGTAAGTAAACTCTTGCTCGTATTTACCCCATTAAGCCGTACACGCTAATAGCTATTTACTAGTCTTACTAGCATCTGTTGTCACTTGTAGATCTCCTACTTTACTGATTTCTTATTGATGTTTTTTTTATGCTGTATTGATGCTTGTATGTTGTTCCTCAAATGTAAGTCGCTTTGAAAAGCATGTGCCAAATGAATAAATGTAAAATGTAAATGTACTCCACTACCTTTATCTGACAGCTACAGTTAGGCCTACAAGTTATAGGGGAGACCGGGTATGGTTCTAACACTTTTTGCTTCAGCAACTATAACTCACTGAATTTTTTAGCTAGAGCTCTCAAATGTTTATACAAAGTACCCACATATGTTCACTACAAATGGCACCAATTCAATCCTCTACAAGAATATCACAGACCTCGTGAGTTGATGTCAAATGCATTGTGTTCCCTTGTTAGAACCTGTCCCACTACCAGGGTAGGTTGTAACACATGCTGGGGTCAGTTGTAACAATCACACAAAAGAATCAAAAATAGATGCCACACTATGCCACACTATACTAAGCTTCCAAAACAGGTAGTGATATCAAAGAACAATGTTTCTCTCTTGCTGTAACAGACTTTGTCTGATGACTCACGTGCATGAACAGTATGTGTATGTAAATTTATCTATAGAATAAACTTACTTAAAAGTATACTTAATAAATACTCCTAAAATGTTCCGAATTAAAGAACATCTCTGTACATCCTTAGGTCTAACTACACTGTAAAAAAAAAAATCTTAAAAAAACGGTCAAATGACTGGCAGCTGCGGCTGCCAAACAAAAACCGTAAAATTACAGTAAAATATCTAATTTAAATAAAGGGCAAAAATTATAAATTTACAGCTATTTACATTAAAGATTCTGCAGAAAAACACTGTTATTTTACAGATTTTTCCTAAATTATTACGATCAAACACCTTGAATAAAGTGGTAGAACTAAAAGTTCTGCAGAGAAACACCTTTATTTTACAGATTTTCCCTGAATTATTACAATCAAACACCTTGAATAAAGTGGTAGAACTAAAAGTTCTGCAGAGAAACACCTTTATTTTACAATTTTGTCCTGAATTATTACAAACACCTTCAGTATAGAAAACGGTCAAATGACTGGCAGCTGTGGCTGCCAAACTAAAACAGTAAAATTTAGGTAAAACATCCTTATTCAAATAAAGTACAAAAACACTACATTTACAGAAAATTACATTAAAGGGTTATGCAGAAAAACACCGTTATTTTACAGATTTTTTCTGAATTATTATCAAAGACCTTCAATAAAGTGTTACAATACATGCTCAAGATTATAAAATACATTTTAATTAGCAGAGTTACAGTACAAAACATTTAATGTTCATTTCAAATTCTCATAAAAAAATAAAAGCTTAATGTGAAATATCCTCAACATGAAAAATTATAAAATAAGTATATCTACAATATATTAACTGTTTCTATTAAAGTACTAATTACAAATAAAGTACATACCACTAATGATTTTAAATTCAACTCAAACAAGCCTAGTCCCAATTAGGCTACTACTAAGCAGATTAGATTGTGCATAGACATATAAATGTTTAAAATGTTGTTAGTATGGGCATACTATACTTTTTAAGCTCTTTACTTTCTGTACCATTCAAAACAGACAAGCAGTAAATCAGTGTTTAGTATGACCAACACAATATTAGATAGATTAAACATACAGTGTTCTTTCTTGTGAGTCAGGCCTGTGCAAAATTAGGTGATGCATGAATTGTATGAATAATTATTATGAGCCCGACCATCATTCGAATTATTTAGAACGGAATTTAGAATGTATTGTGAGTCTATCCAATTTATAAATGACAATAAATATGCTTTTACAATTAATTTGTTATAGGAACTATCTATAGAAATGTAATCAGTGTTTCCCACAGAATGACAGTGTAACTGTGGCGGGGGTGCGCGCGCATCGATAATGACTACCACCTATATACAGCGTGCTAGCCTCGAAAATCCAGCTGCATTCTAACATTAGCTCATTAACTTAGCTCTCCTTATTAGCTAGGCTCTTTGCATGCTCGCTAACAACTTTTTTAAGCTCTCCGACATTGACAGCGTCGTGTTGGACACATTTATGCAGTGGTGCTCCATGAGGGAGAGAGAGCGAGAGAGGTACGGGTGAGTGAGAGAGAGAGAGAGGGACAAGTGAGAGGAAGTGCTGTACGAATGTGCTACGGTGCTCTGCAATCAAATATGATTTTAAATAGGCTTAGTAAAAATAATCGAAAATCAATCTGTGGCGGTCAGTGTTGATATTGTGTCGGGCCGCCATAAATAAATGAAAGTGTGGGAAACACTGATAATGTTTATACCGCCTTTTTATTATTTTTCTTTACATTTTCATTGAAGTTATTCTTATATATTGTCCTTTTATGATCTACCAGAATGTTCATGATGTTAGTTTTACATGTATGTAATACCTTATATAATAGTAGTTTTGTATGTTTTATGATGGAAGATACTCATACATCATGTTACTCTTCCTGCCTAACTTTGTTAAATTGTGAAATAACATAATATCAGGTAGGCCTTCCTACAGACGACAAGAAAAACTAAGTTCACCACAGTGTGTTATACAGTAAGCACTCATTACAAAACCCACAGTTCAACCACCAATTAGTGAGTCCTTATCTCAGTTCAAATCTACTAGGAGTCCATCTTTCTATATTGCAGTAAGCAAACAAAAAAAATACTCAGTTTGAGGTTGTTCAAAAGTTGGCCAATGAAAATAAAACCAAGTGTCACCTCTCGTGTTTAATATACAAGCTTAGTAATTCTCTGACAA